TATTGTCATTAGAGTTGAAAACTGGTAAAACCCATTAGCGGAAATCGATTTTACTCTCGTTTTATACGTTATACATAGTGTTGCAAGTAGTGCGCATTATGGCGCATCATTGTGCAATTACAGCGCAATTTTTCCGACACGATGTATTTTTTTTATTAGAGAAATTTTACACTTGTATTGTGCATTCATATGTTGTGATGATGTTTTTTCTACTGCATCATTATTGTGGAGTATTGCTTGCAGGCTTGAAGAGTCAATGTTTAATTGTGATCGGGAATCTTGATATTTCCTGCAGTCCAGAAGGATATGACGTATGTCGATGATGGAGCCGCAGCATTCGCATAAAGGTGGGTCTGTTCTGTTGATCAGGAACTCGTGGGTGAGCCTCGTATGTCCTATTCTCAATCGGGTTAGGACCCGTTGGTCTGCGAGGTTCGCGCTGTCCTTCCATTGGCTTGTGTCGGATTTTATCTCGCGGAGCTTAACGTCCTGCGAATTGAACCATAGTTGGTCCCATCGTTCTTTCAAAAGCTTGATCGTCAACTGGAAGATACCAACAACAAAATTGAAATGTTCTTGGAGAAAGCCGGAATTGTGGAAGATGCAGCCAGTCACCAGAGGAAACAACAACATCAGAAACATCGAACCGGGGAAGCAACGTTCGCCGAGCAAGGGGCAAGGGGCAGGACTCTTGCAGTAAAGATTGGATCTTCAACTTCTGACTGGTTCTGCAATACCTCCGGTGTACCTCAAGGAAGTAACTTGGGACCGTTGCTATTTTCGCTGTACATCAATGACGCAACTGTGCTTCTGGAAAATGGATGTTACTTTATTTATGCTGATGATACAAAAATCTATGTGATCGTTGAAAACGAAGACGACTGTCTGCGACTCCAGGAGGCACTGGACAAGTTTGCATTGTGGTGTCGTGCCAACAATATGACCCTCAGCGTACCTAAATGCCACGTCATTAGCTTCCACCGCAAGAAAAATTTCCTTCAATTTGAATATGTCATCGACGGAACCACCCTATCATGCGTGCAGACAGTGCGTGATCTTGGAATTACATTGGACTCAAGTCTCACGTTCAGGAACCACCACAAAGATGTTATTGCGAAGGCACGACGGCAGCTTGGTTTCATTGGAAAGGTGACAAAGGAGTTTCAAGATCCTTACACATTGAAATCGCTGTATGTTAGTCTTGTTCGTCCAATTCTCGAGACAGGCTGTATTATATGGGATCCGTTTCAAATCACCGTGATCGATCGCATAGAGGCCGTTCAGCGCAAATTTGTGCGATACGCTCTTCGCAACTTACCGTGGAATGACCCGGTTAATCTGCCACCCTACGAGAATAGATGCCAACTACTGGGATTGGAAACGCTGGAACAAAGGAGGAAGAACGCGAAAGCTGTATTTGTAGCGAAACTACTGAACGCCGAACTTGATGCACCGAATCTTCTTGCTCTCATCGACATTAACATTCCCGGCTATGCACTCAGGAATACCGAATTTCTCCGCTTACCACGCTGGCGACAGGACTACGACGGTAACGAGCCAGTACGTGCAGTCATGCGCAATTTCAACGATGTTTATAATTTGTTTGACTTCAATGAAAACTCTGTTCAATTTCGCTCAAGGCTAAGAAGAATGAATTGATGTTGATGCTAAGAATTATTCATTAAGACAACAAATTGTCGGATGAAGATATCAAAGTAATAATAATAAAATAACGCTTTGAACTTCTCTTACTGCGTCCATGGCTGGTATTGGGTTATTATGTGGTCCGTTCTTTCTAGCTTCACCCGCTAGACGGTCTGCAGAAATATTTCCTTGAATACCAGCATGACCAGGAATCCAGCAGAATTTTATGTTTTTGTTGCGAACTGCCGCTTCAATACTTTCGATCCATGGATATGTAGACCTACCGGACTCGAGAGCATAAAGACAGGTGGCTAAGTCCGTTAGGATAGCTATTGGGTTTTTGGATGAAGTCTTGAGTGCCAAGTTGAGTGCATAGACCTCTGCTGAGTACACGCTGCACTGACGAGGGATGGCTACGGATTTGCTAACGCCAGCTCCAAAAAGGCCTGTGCCGACTGTATCGTCACTCTTGGAGTCATCGGTGTAAAGTATGGTGTGTCCTTGAAAGTGTCGTTCGATTATATCCTGTACTATGGGTCGTACTATTTCTGGAGGGTCTCCAGCCCTAATAATCTGTTTAACGTCCCAGACGATCGTAGGTTTTGGTACATTCCAGTGCCGTTCTGTGATCCTATTGCGCTGACAGATTCTGGGAATAGTTGAATTGGTTTTTTCGGTATACAGCTGTAATGTTCTTTGAATGACTGGAAGATCGGAGGCGTCACTAATTTTCTCTAAAAGCCGAATCGTCACCCGTCCTAACGATTGTAGAACCAGAAGGTCAAATGGTAACATCATAGAGTTATCTCTAAGACCAGAAGGTCCCGAAGAAACGAGCTCACCTTTTTGGCTCAGCTCTGGTACTATCTTCGGTCCCAAGCTAATCGATTCACCCCTCGAAACATAGGAAAAACTAATAACCCCTCATTTTATCTGTCAAACTTTCATAGCGAATCAAAACAAACATAGTGTAGTACTAGAATTTCGACTAGAATGGGGTACGTTAGTCGATTTGCTTGGGACCGATAGGCTAGTCAAGTAGTGAGCCAATTTAAAATCGTTAGTTTCGTATTGATTGTTGGTAGCATTCCAGATGCAGCCATGATAGCGAGTGTAGTGCTTGTGACGAATGCTCCAGATGCGAGTCTAATCATCCGGTTGCAGGTTGGGGAGAGGATTTTAAGGGCCGTATGGCCTCCTCTGCTAACTAGACCTATTCCGTATAGAAGGCATGACGTGATGATCGCAGATCCTACCTGCAGCAGTGAGCGACGGGCGCCTCGGGGAAGTCTTAATCCAACCATGGTCAGGATTCGTAGTCGCGTGGCGCAGTTTTTGGCATTCTGGGTACAGTGTGCTCTAAAGGTGAAGGTCTGATGTAGCGTGACACCTAAAATTTTGAGCCACTTTGTTCTAGGTACTGGGATGCGATCTATGGTTATATCTTTCTTGGGCTGGTGACGAGCATTAGGGCTACCGTAAAAGATGTGTGATTTGTTAGATGATATAGAAAAACCAATGCTTATCGCCCATTTGACCACCGCGTTGACAGCAATTTGAAGCTTTCGAGTTTTGATTCTTTAGGCCTACTACGATCAAAAGGATGTCGTCGGCATAAAGGAGAACCTTGAAACCATTTGGAACCACCCGAAAAATCGGTTGCATAGCCACGAGGAACAAAGTCACAGACAGAACCGAGCCTTATGGGACTCCATTCCAATGTAGACAGGGGGAAAATTTGCCCCGCTACGGCTACTTGAAAAGTGCCGTCCGATAGGAAGCTTTTCAGAATGTTGTACATGCGTCCAGAAAAGTGCCATTGCTTCAGTGTCCGTAAAATCCCATGTCTCTAGGTGGTGTCATATGCCTTTGACAGGTCCAGAGACGCAATTAGACAGTGCTCGTCTTTTCCACGTAAATAGCTTTCCAGTTCCGCGAAATGAGTTTCGGTGCCGCCTCCGGATCGAAAAGCGTGTAGTCAGTTATCCAGTCATCCTTTCGTTTCTAATTCCGTAATTAGTCGCCGGTTGACCATCCTTTCAAAGACTTTAGATATACAGCTTAAAAGTGTGATGGGTCGAAAAGCAGCAGGTCCGGTCTCAGTGGAATTTGGCTTCCGAATTGCCAGTTGCTTGGGAAGACGCCACTGTGCCAAATGCGATTAAACAACTCTAGTGCGGTTTTTACTGAAAAAGGTAGTCGTTGGAGCATGGGGTAGCCCACGAAGTTAGGACCCGTAGAGAGGCCGCGTCGCTTTTCAAGGGCCCACAAGAGTTCATCTAATGTAAAATCAGTATTGTATCCGTTATGCTCGTCTTTTGATGGATCAGAATATTTACGTTCGGCTTTCTCCTTCGCTATTTGGAATGTTGTTGAGTAGTTGGAGATTGCCGACCTCTTAGTGTAGTGCTGAGCCAGTATTTCAGCTACTTTTAGGGAATCATCGGTTGGACCTGATGGTTGTCTGATAGCTATAGTGGTGTGACGGCGTTTGCCACGCAAGGACATGATGTATGTATAACGTAGAGAACGAGAGTAAAATCGATTTTCGTTTGTGGGTTTTTTTTCAGTTTTCAGCTATAACGACAATACTTTAGGTCAAGTGTACGAGCGTCATTGTTGACATAAATTGAGTCATAATAGACGCGAAATACAGCTCAATCAAACGAGCTTTTCAATCTTGACCCACCCTAGTGTAGCCCATCCGATTACCCATCCTTCGGTTCGTGTCGGTTTTTGTTTTATGAGCAGTTTGATTCTTCGAACCATTAGCCGCCTGAAATTTTATTGGATCGGTGATTTTGTTTGCCAAATTTGAAATTAATTTCGTGAGAAATGCTACTCAGCGCTGAAAGAAGGTGCGGATACAACAACAGTTACTTACTTCAATTGTGTTACTTACTTTCCATTTTCATCGATCATCTTTCATCGCGGATGACGCGGCGTTCCAAACATGGCTGCACCTCCTAAATCACAACCGTCAAACTCCAAAACACAATGTGTAATTAATTCTTAAACTATTCACAATCATTACGTAAGCGCCAACCGTGAAGTGCGGTATCCACATTTCAATTGAAAGCCTCACACTCCGCCTTTCGTCCGCTGATGGTTCTTCCGTCTTGATTGATATGGCCGTACTCCCTCTTCTATTATGCACACAAAACGCCGACCGTCACCTGTCAGCGTAGTTGCTCTCTTAGCAGACTTGACTTTTATAATTACGATCGAGAGATGGCCGTGCACCCGTCGCTCCTCCCTTTCACTCGGCCCTATTGTTCGAATATACCTCTAATCGCATTCATTTTTCCGACAGCTAATGCCATGGCATGTTTTCCCTTTTCAATTTTCATTTTCAGGTTCATTGAAAACGTCGTTCCTGGCCGGAAGCACTTTCAACGTCTCGTGGCATCTGGCTTACCCGCACCAGGTGAGTGTTTGTTCATGTTTGGTGGGTTTTTGGGAATGCGAGCAATCTTCTGAATGTGCCTTCGCGATGAATGGCGACGATGATGGTGATGATCATGGGCTATGGAAAAGCATTCATTGTGGTTGCATAAAATATTTGACATTGAGTGGATTGGTCGCGAAGGGGGTGACCGCTGTGTGTTCTTGTTTTCATGGATCATCATTGAATGGGATTAATCTTGTCGAAGCCTTTGTTGCGCGTGGCTCCATTTTTTGGAGGTTATAAAAGCGGCTCGAGGTGCGGGATGAATTGAGTATCGCTTGGAGCTTAGTTATTCAATTACGGCATACTTACCTTCGTCATAATTTATTATAGCACTTTTAGATTACATTGAATGCGGCACTCAACTGCTTCCATTGATACTTAAATGACAATCGTGGGAAATTCGGTTCAGTTGAGTTTTGGCTTAGGAAGGTTTCTATAACTTTACATTATCAATACATTTATTAGGATGTCTGTATTTGCTTGCAATGGTCTCAAGATTTGCCCATGATCTTCTCAGTGGTCTTGCTTAGCTAAATCTCAAAATTTGTCTCTATCCTGCTGAAATCATGATCATTAAACTTATCAATGTTAAGCTGAACTAACTGCCTTTTGTTATCAACGCAGCGTTGCCATATATACCGATTTCCGAACTACACACCAAAAATTTTTGAATTTTACTGGCGATGTAAACATCGATGCATGCAAATATTCATACATGTAAACTTCCTTTTCACGTAAACTAGCAACTTGCAAGAAATGTTGCAAACAAAAGTGGACAGTTGTTTACAATATATGGGATATTGCATGACATGTCTCATAAATTTACACGATCTATAATCTAAAATTGTATGATATATGACGCTCCATTTATGTGCATCATAGTAACGGAAATTTACACTACTTTTTTTTAGCTGTGTATAGATGGCTGCGACTTCTGCCGAGAAGACCGAGCTTGGGGTGCCAAATTGCTGCTCGTGGTTACGATGTGCCCTGCAACACCCAAGTAACATTGCAGGTTTTATCGTGGTTTTATAGCATTCTACAAGTCTAAATCATGGTATACAGAACCCTCATAAAACCAAAATTGTTACTTGGGCACCTATTCCCACGCCTGCTCAGGAAAGTGATCCATCCCTGTAACGGTGCGCATATGTAGCGTCAACAATCAATACGAAACTAACGATTTTAAATTGGCTTACTACACAATATTTGTTTTGATTCGCTATGAAAGTTTGACAGATAAAATGAGGGGTTATTGGATTTTCCTATGTTTCGAGGGGTGAATCGCTTAGCTTGGGACCGAAGATAGTACCAGAGCTGAGCCAAAAAGTTGAGCACGTTTCTTCGGGACCTTCTAGTCTTAGAGTTACCTCTATGGTAGCGTAGTCTGTCCCTACTCTCCTAGCATTTCCACTACCGACCTTCGTAGGGCAGCAGAGTGTGTCTTACCTGCCTTGAAGCGGTCCTTGATCCGACTATCTACATTTACAGCACTTGTTCGTTAACTGGGCTGTTTTTAACTGGGCGTTCGTTAACTGGGCTGTAGTCCAGTTAAAAAGCAGTTATACGTCAAAACTAGACGTCACATTTAGTTTGACATGTCGTTGTCATAATTTGTAGGGGGCATTCGAATGGAATATTAAGTGTTAATATAAATAACTTTGAATTTATTTTCATTCCACACTGAAATCTCGACTGCAAAGCGCTATTAGCGAAAGCGTTAAGCTTTTCTAAACTCGCGAGTTTGAATGCTGTGAAAATTACAATAACAAACTTTACACTGTTTCAATTCGATGCACGTGAAATTGTTTAACGTCGATTTAACAATCCTTTGAAGTTCCCCTCAGTGTTTTTTTTACGTTTAGCAAGCCAGCCCAATAAGCGAGTGGAATTCGCTAACTGGACTGCGCTTTTAGCCCAGTTAGCGAACAAGTACTGTACTAGAGATGCGTGCCAACTTCGTTCTCCATGCTAGTGACATTTGTCCACTGGGGGGAGCTTTACGGTGGCGGCATGGTGGGTATATACATGGTGATACAGCTTTTTCACTATATAGACGAGGAGGTCGCGGGGGGGGGGGGGAAGTGCGGTTTTAGAGCAATTTGTAAACAAACTCGGTCGCTGTCCCATACAAAAATCCAACATGGCTGAATCATGAATTTGACACATTAGAACACCTATATGTAGTCACCTTCAGTGCTGTAAATTTTCATATCATTCGATTGAAGATGAACCACTACAACCATTCAATCAATTCTGTGTAAACGAATTCTCACATGACCATAATTTGAAGAGCCCCTTTCTCATTCGAAGCTCACTGTCACTGTCAATTGAGTCACTCAGTATCATTTGATATACGACAGTGGAGTATGGAAGAAATCCAGGAAAATGATCCCGAACAGACAAGTCGACCCGATGTCGGATCAATGTAAGGCTAATTTGAGGTCGATGTCGACCCAATGTCGTGTTAATGTCGGGTCAATTTTGGGTTTATGTCGGGTCAATGTCGGGTCAACATCGGGTTGGGTTTTGATAGAAGTCAGGTTGGTGTCCGGTTGACTTTGCTTTTTCGCCGGAATGTCGACCAGAGCTCCGTTTGTGTGTAGGTTACACTCAATCGAATGATATATAGCGTTTCTCAAATGAGAATGATCCATGCCTTCGTCAAATGACTAAGCAACTGATATCACCCATTCGGAGGAGGTCCCCTTTGATAGCGAATAGCTACTTTTCTCATTTTCATCAAAAATGTTCAAATGATTTTGAGAATTTACAGCACTGGTCACCTTGGTTGGCGGTCATGCGGAGGATTCTTTTCCCCTCCTCGTGGAGAAAGATCCTGTCAGAATCTGGTGTTTTTACTGTAAAAGCAGCAACCTTGATGGGAATAGCTGCGTTGAGTCGATGCCGGAAAGGAAGGATTCCCGCTTCAACGCAGGCAGCGTCGGCGGGAGCGAGAATTTGTGATAGCTTATCGGATGCCGAGCATGTGAGTTCTAGTCCGTAGAATAGGCAACTGTCAATTATCGCTAGGGCTACCTAGAAGCGCATGCTGCGGTTTTTCGAATGATGCTGAATGAGTTGACCCTGCTGTGACGGCTTGGAAGTGTTGTTCAGTTGCCGGTTTTCCGAAGAGGTACGCCACTGTCGAAAACCTGTAATCTGGGTGTACAGCCAAAGGAGACCACCAGAATATCGTCGGCCTATGTGAAGATATAGCTGTTGCGGGTCGAACCAATCTCAATCAGGAACAGTGTGACGCTGATAACTGACCCCTGCGGAGCACACGTCTCCTCGCTGAAGGGCTGTGACTGTGTGTTACCGACCATGACACGGAATGAACGATCCGTGTGGAAGTTTTAAACGGACTCGACCGTGGGACCTTTCAGTCCCCAACTGACTAGTTACCTCAGTCCTGTTACCGCTGTCCTCGAGAAACTGCTCAACCTGCGATTGACCATTTTTTCCATTACCTTGGCCATACAGCATGTGAGCGCATTGCACAGTGGTCCAGAATGCAGATTTAGGTGGAATGATATGTTTTGAGCCTGAAATTGAAACTTAAGACTAAAAGTTTCTTCTACAAAGTTGTTTCTTATAGTTAGGCTCTCATTTTTATGACAATGAAATCTAGGGTGGTTCCTATTATCATTAAAATCAAAAATCTAACTTTTTTGTTTGAATAAATTAAGGTATACATTCTTCGGCAAAGTTATAGCTGAGCTAATTTCAAGCAACTTTGTTGAGAATAACTTTTTTGTATCTCTTAAATTGGCCAATTTAGAGCTATTTTCTTGAATTGAGTTAGGGTGGCTCTTAAAAAAACTGTTTTTTTGCTCTAGTTTTCTTATTTCGAACTTCTCAGCAAAGGAGTCTCTAGATAACTTTTAGATCTTAAGAAGGCGCAAATTTTTGCTGCACAAAGTTTGTCGATATCTTTCGCCGATCAAGAGTTATTGACGTTTTTTTGCTAAAAATATGCACTTTTCAAATGTTAATATCTCTGGTTGGGGCAAACAAAAAAAAGTTTTCTTACGGCATTTGAAAGGGCGTATGTTATTCTCAATAATATGGCAAAATTGGAGGTATGTTATTTTTGAAACTCGTATAAAATCAATTTGAATTTATTCATATTTTTTACAATATTTGGGTATATCTTTTTTATTAGAAGAGATACAGGCAACAAATTCAGCTGTAAAACATTCGTCTTAAAGAGTTTTAAAATTCTCTAGAAGATAACTTTCATGAGAAATCTCAAATAAAAAAGTTATTGCTAAAAAACTATTTTTTCCAGGAACACCCTAAGTCAATTCCGAAAAATTACTCTAAAATGAGAACGTTAAGAGATAGAAAAAAAATTTCTTCGACAAAGTTGCTTGCAATTATCTTAGCTACAACTTTTTTAAACAACACATGTTTTTATTTTGTAAAACAAAAAAGTTAGTTTTAAAAATTCCCTAATTTGAGGACCACCCTGACGTTTGCAAACACCAAAAGAAGGGAATTTTTAAGAACAAAAACTTTTTCGGAGACACTTAATGTCCAAATATTTAAACAAATGTACTAGCACATTTTATATAAATTTGTCATTAGAGTGGTCCTATGAAATCCATCTTTTGTCAATAACTTTTTTATTTGAAATTTATCATGAAAGTCATCTTCTAGAGACTTTTAAAACTCTTTAAGACGAATGTTTTATAGTTGAATTTGTTGCCTGTATCTCTTCTAATAAAAATGATATACCCAAATATAGTAAAAAATATGAATAAATTCAAATTAATTTTATACGAGTTTCAAAAATAACAACCTCCAATTTTGTCATATTATTGAGAATAACATACGCCCTTTCAAATGCCGTAAGAAAACTTTTTTTTTGTTTGCCCCAAACAGAGATATTAACATTTGAAAAGTGCATATTTTTAGTATAAAAACGTCAATAACTCTTGAACGGCGAAAGATATTGACAAGTTTTGTGCAGCAAAAATTTGCGCCTTCTTAAGATCTAAAAGTTATGTAGAGACTCCTTTGCTGAAAAGTTCGAAAAAAGAAAACTAGAGCAAAAATCTGTTTTTTAAGAGCCACCCTAACTCAATTCAAGAAAATAGCTCTAAATCGGCCAATTTAAGAGATACAAAAAAGTTATTCTCAACAAAGTTGCTTGAAATTAGCTCAGCTATAACTTTGCCAAAGAATGTATACCTTAATTTATTCAAACAAAAAAGATAGATTTTTGATTTTAATGATAATAGGAACCACCCTAGATTTCATTGTCATAAAAATGAGGGCGTAACTATAAGGAACAACTTTGTAGAAGAGACTTTTAGTCTTAAGTTTCAATTTCAGGCTCAAAACATATCATTCCACCTAAATCTGCATTCTGGACCACTGTGGATTGGTGGTATTGATATGACAATGCTCTCTTTCCACCGGTCGGAGTACATCCACACGTCCATTCAGCCACAGCTGGTTGTAGAGCTCGAGTAGTTTGACCTGCGTCAGAAGTGGGTACCCCTCTTCGCCAGGACCGGCTAGTTTACCTGTGCTACGGCTGAGTGCGAATTGGAGTTCCCTCCATGTAAAAGCTTGGTTGATGCTCGTATTGCTGGGGTCCGCTAGCACGTTGAAGTCATTGTCGTAGCTGTTGATGGCAGTCAGATCGGCCGAGCTCTTCCGCAACGGCCTTGGGTTCTGACACCGTAGAACCGTTGACCTGAAGATGCAGCGGTGCCATGCGCCGCTTTTCGCTGAGGGCGTTGACTCTACCCCACAAATCGACAGATGACTGGGATGTATTCATGCTGTCAAGAAAGTTCATCCATCTGGATTGCTTGGCGTTCCGAGCTTATTGTGGTAGTTGGTGAGCGCAACCGCTGGAAGCTGCTTGACCTTCCGGAGGGCTTTCCGGCGGACCTTGACTGCTTTTTTGTATCTTCGTTCCACCAACGAAGGGCGTTGCGCCACGGGTTACTGTCAGCCTTAGGGATTGATGCGATACGGGGTGCATCGTACTACCTCTGTGAACTCTTGTATACAATCCGGATTCCGTTGCTCCGTATTTAAACGTCGCAAGCGTCTACGGGTGGTGGACGGAGCTGCAGGTGGCATGGTTCTTGCTGGACCGGGTAGTTGACACTCCACTTGAACTTCCCAGAGATTGTTCGGCTAGCTACAGAGATGTTGATGGGTATGGCGTGCCGTCCATTAAGGAACGTAGGTTTACCGTCGTTGAGGACTGTCAAGTCTTCCTTTTCGAAAATGTCTACTAGCATGAAGCCCCTTGAGTCCGAGCGGGAGGCCCCTCAGCTAGGATGATGCCCGTTGAGGTCGCCAACGATAAGTCACGGTTCCGGTAGTTTGCTAAAGACGAGGAGTATTTGACCTCAAAAGTAGACCAAAACTGAAGACAACAAATCAAGAAGAGTGGCAGCTTTGCCAGAATCCAAGTGACAGATACAATGGCGCTGCGCTTGAGTGAAGGTGGAAGCAACGCATAGAAAAATGAGCAAATAGACAAACCTTTCTTCTGAGGATGTTATCTTTGCTATTAAATTCATTCGCGGAAGATGACGTGTACCTGTCTCATAGCGAAATTTTCTCACTACACGGCGCTAGTGTGCATGAATTATTGATGCCCTTGTTTTTGTGATATCCTGAAATCCTTGTCATATAGGAAGTTGCTTTCTTGAGCGAAGTTGTTCAGTGGATCAAGATCTTATCGTTGGTGGACAGAAGTTCGGAATTTTCTCACTACGCGGCGCTAGCGTACATGAATTTGTGATATCCTTGTTTGTGTGATACCTTGAAATCCTTGCCATCTAGGAAGTTGCTTTCTTAGGCGAAGTTGTGCAGTGGACCAAGATTTTATTGTTGGTGGACGGAAGTTTGGAATTTTCTCACTACGCGGCGCTAGCGTGCATGAATTTATGATATCTTGAAATCCTTGCCATCTAGGAAGTTGTTTTCTTGGGCAAAGTTGTTCAGTGGATCAAGACCTTTTGTTGGTGGACAGAAGTTTGGAATTTTCTCACTACGTGGCGCTAGTGTACATTAATTTGTGATATCCTTTTTTGTGTGATATCTTGAAATCCTATCTAGGAAGTTGCTTTCTTGGGCAAAGTTGTTCAGTGGATCAAGACCTTATCGTTGGTGGACAGAAGTTTGGAATTTTCTAACTACGCGGCGCTAGTGTACATGAATTTGTGATATCTTGAAATCCTTGCCATCTAGGAAGTTGCTTTCTTGAGCAAAGTTGTTCAGTGGATCAAGAACTTATCGTTGGTGGACAGAAGTTCAGAATTTTCTCACTACGTGGCGCTAGTGTACATAAATTTGTGATATCCTTGTTTGTGTGATATCTTGAAATCCTTGCCATCTAGGAAGTTGCTTTCTTCCGCAAAGTTGTCCAGTGGATCAAGATCTTATCGTTGGTGGACAGAAGTTCGGAATTTTCTCTCTACGTGGCGTTAGTGTACAGGAATTTGTGATATCCTTGTTTGTGTGATATCTTGGAATCCTTTGCCATCTAGGAAATTGCTTTCTTCGGCGAAGTTATTCAGTGGATCAAGACCAATATGGATGGAACATGGATATTTTCGGAATCGAGATGACGTCTAGAGACCAAAAATCGATGTCCAGCACCATCTTGAAATCCAAGATGGCGGCTTCCCGTTCCAGAAAAAGTGGGAGATACTGCCAAATATCCTTCAAATATGTATATTTTCTGAATCGGGATGACGTCTAGAGACCTAAAATCGATGTCCAGCACCATCTCGAAATCAAATATGGTGGCTGCCGATTTCAGAAAAAAAAAGTGGGAAATACTTAGTTGAAGATGCTAATTTCAAATAACAGACTAAAGTGGTAATTTTTATACGATAGATGAGGAGGAGAAAGTATAGAATTGATAGTTCCGTTTAGAGTACGGCAGTGTGAAACTTGCATATAGAGAGTAGGTAGCGAGCTAGGACAAATTTTTAGGAAGGTTCAAATCCGTTTTATCACCTCTCTTTACCAAACTCCCCCTTTGGAGAGGGATGGTGAGGGGTGTGTCCCCCCGCGTTCATACTGCTAAATACCCTTCAATATGTATATTTTCGGAATCGGGATGACGTCTAGACACTGAAAATCGATGTCCCGTGCCATTTTTAAATCCAAGATGGTGGCTTCCGGTTCCAGAAAAAGTGGGAAATACTGCTAAATACCCTTCAATATGGATATTTCCGGAATCGGGATGACGTCTAGCATGATATTTTGTTCCAATATCACTCGGAATATTGAGATCATTTGATTGATGATTTCGCCAGCACTGGCCATAAGTCTCCAAAATTCGCTGAATCCTTCAAATCATAGCTTCAGCATGTAAACACCATTAGCATCGGTAGCAGGCCAAACAATCAACACCAAGAGTGAAAAACAATGAGACGTTCAACATTCCATCAAAACTGGCGCTCAACTTAACGGATCGTTTCGGATAATGAATCAAACTAAACATTCATTAACCTTCCTCAACACGCATACCAAAATCAAGCGTACAGAAGTATATTAACTCAACAGTGACAACACTACCGCAAGCAGCAATCAACTAATCCTACCAGGTATGACGTGCCACCGCAAGTGCAATCATCATCGCCATCATCAGCGTCATCGGCGCCACCGAGCTCAAATTAGCAGCTCCTCCAGCTGGTTTGCCGGTGGTAGTCGGTGTCGTATCTCGGGCTCTCACAATGGCGGGCATCACCGCGGTCGATACCCGACCGTTGCATTTGTTAAAGTGACAAACCTCGCACTGTTCCGCTCCGGCACATTCCGTATTCCGTGGTTGGCTGGAACACTTCCGGACTGTGTCACCATTTTTCTGCACCAGTATGTAGCATTGGTTCTGGCTGTTGTACGAAGGGCAGTAGGTGGCATCTCCGGACTGGGCGTTCTTGCAGGTTGCATTCTTCGTCGAGTCGCACTGGTAGCACTTTAGCTGGCCCATGGGGTACTCTTTGGAGTTGCATTTCTCGATGCGGGATGAGCAGACGGCACAGTTGGTGCCTTGCAGGCATCGAGTCTGGGAGCTGGAGTCCAGACCGTTGAGACATCCTCGCTCGGTGGTTTTGCCATCCACGAAGCGGGAGTAGCACTGGGTGTTTGCCGGGTCGTTGCAAGGAAGGGCTTCGAAGGCAGTTGCAGTTCCCATACAATCGGGTTCGTACGCACTGGAGCACTGCACGCATTTGTTGGAGTTAAGCAGGACGTTGGGATCATTGCTTCCCGGTTTGGAACCGTACATGCAATGCTGGGGGCTAGTTTTACAAGCGTTTTGCTCAGCTGAGGTTAGGCTACTGTTGCAGCCCAAGCGAATGGGTAAACCCGAAGTGTCAGTTAGCATGATGCATCGATCAGTGGTCGAGTAGATTGGGCAGTATTCTAGTGTGATGGTATCGTGTGAAAGACACGGCGGGCGCAGGCATTGGTAGCATGCCAACCTGTTAGACGGGTAGATGTCTACGTTGCATCGATTTGTAGAGCATGTCGCACACATTGCATTGGAATTGGTATTGTTATGATTGACGCACTGGTCTGCGTCTTCGGGGGAAAGGCTACCCAGGCAACCTCGCTGTAAAATTTGCTGTCCTTGGGAAGTGTTTGTCAGAAGGGTGACACAGGTACTGCAAGATTCGATGTTGGTGAGCGATGATGGGCTTGCAGTGCACGCCGGGTCGTCTTGTGAGTTGCAAGATCTGTGGTGGGGAATTGAGAAGATTCAGAGATTAATTACGACGTTTCAACTGCGACTGAACAGCGTCATTATGCTTTCTTTCGCTTACATTACATTGAGGCAATCAAAATGGTACTCTACGTCGAGAAATTTTTGATCCCGAAAAAATCTCCATCAGAATTACAATCTTCACACTTACACATTATAAATTGGCTTGGGTGGCTTGTCACAAAAATAATTTAAAACACTTTCAACGTTAGTCAAACATTCGAATCTTGTCATTGTAGTGAAGTTTTTGGTGCCTCAATCGTTTAAAAAAATACTGAAGCTATGTATGCTTTTCAAGTGTGTATGTCACTATGTAGATCACACAATGCAATGAAGAGTTTACTTTGCGAACATTTGCAATACTCACAGACACTCAAGATAGTCGAACGTCACCGTTGCTTGATTGCAATTATCGTCGGCGCAAAAATTGCACTTGTTGCTGTTTGCCTTGCAGAAGGTCATTTCCTCCGCACTCATCGATGACTGGCACTTTTTAACGTTTGAACCTTAAAAAAAAAAAACCCCATGATCGTCCGTACCACCTATGAATGATATGCTCACAGCGCGTGATTCTTCCGCATCATGAGTCATTGGTCACCTATCGAGCAAAAGTTCATCCACCTACCTCCACTGCTGCTAGCGATCTGAACACAGTTATCCCACGGATTGGGACAGTACTGATCGGGTTGCGTTCCAACAACACACTTCCTCCTATCGGCCGGGAACACAGCCGTGTTGCATGCGTTTCCGTTTTCAATCGAACACGTCTGGCAGTTTTTGGTGGGATCACATAGCTCGGCGTCCGTTGCCGATCCGAGACAACCTCGCTCCGTTACTGTGCCTATCTGAGAATAAATTAGATTGTCATGATCACTCCCCGCACCATCCTCTAAATCCTCATCCCTAGACGAGACTTACGACTCTGGTGTAGCACTGGGCATCGGCTTTGATTTCTGTGGTCGGAGCAGGACATTGAACTGACGTAAGCTGAGGGGTTGGAATGACACAGTTACTGTCCACGACCGAGGAGCAATAGGCGCACCAGTGATCCTCTCGTCCCTGTAGGTTGCACAGCTCGCCGGTACAGAGAGCGCAGTTTACATCGTCCGTTTCATCGCAAATGGCCTTATCCTGGGCGGTGAGTATCGATCGGCAACCACGATGAACCGGGTTGACTGAAACAAGGAGTGAGAGGGTGCATTTGTCTTTCACTAGATTGAGTGTTTAATGGCGAGCGCTTACATCCGTCGAACATAGTGAAGCATTCATCATCGATGTCGTGACAGGCTCCGATCTCGAGCGATGAGTGCAAACAGTTGGTACCTTGACACGTGTAGCACTGTCGGCCCGGGGCCTGGAGGTTGATCTCGTTTTTATTGCATTCGTACTTGGTGCAGAACCTGCATGCTGATGGATTTGATTGGCAGAATTGTCGGTCCGAATCGGACATCGATTGCTCGCACGTTTTCAGGTACGTTCCTAAGGAAATTGGATTTTGAAAATGTTAATCTGAGAAAATGATCGGCAAAATTGATCGATACCATCATTCCTTTTGGCGGCTACGCAGCTGTCATCCGGTAGGTCACAGTAGCTGGTGGTGGCCTCGATGTTGCAAGCCTGCGAGCTGCATATGACGCATTTTTGTCGATTTAGCGGGAACTCACCACTGTTGCAACCTTGCCCGGTGCAAGTCGAGCAGTGAGTGCCAGCGCATGCCGCCAGATCCATTTCCGACTGAACGCAGCCCCGTTCGGTGACGGAACCGATCTAATGGGAAAATGGAAGCATGTATCACAAATGACAAATACCTTATCCCAGGATTGGTTTGAAAAATATTTCCTTTAGCAATGGCAAAAGTGGGTGATTTCTAAAATAGTTCAATTTATCTAATTATCTTCAAAAATATTCAGATATATCAGATATGGTGAAACAACTTGTGACTCTGTAGCTTGACTTCTAAATAAACGCTTATTTTTTAGCAATTAGCTTACGCATCCACACACTTGAATTGTCTATATTATTTCACAAATACACGTGAATCCAACATGATTTAAGAATACTCTCACTTAAGTATTATATTTAACATTTATTTTCAAGCGCTTTCATCAAAGAGTTCTTGCGATAACGCATAGATGACATTGCCGAATAATTATTACATCCGTTTTCAATCAGCTACAATTATAGCAGAATACTTCGAATTAAAAAAAACCCAATATTCATCAATTATTGCGAACCAAAAACGTCACTCGCGAGCTTGATCATGCTCTCGATGCTGATGGTTCTTCTTGCTAATTCCTTCATGGATAGCCCCGCCTTGTGGCTTCTCTGTTTTGTGCTAGCGTTCCAAATCATATTGTTCTTCTACCTGGAGACTGCTTACGCACAGATACATGCAAAAGCCAGTTGATTGCTAATGCTTGGCGTTACGTTACAAACAAATTGTTTGTATTGAAATAATGCATTTTACAAGTAGGAAATGTTCCTAACAATATTTGAAACGATCTACGGAAATCAATGTGTCAATGTGTAATTGATGAGAAAAGTTAGCGACCACTATGATTATGGTCCTAAAATAGAACTTAGAAAATGGATTACAGAAAATTTACACAATAAATAATTTTTTTATATATTAATAATATAATAAAAATATTTCTTTCAATTTTGCATTTAAAAAACCTGAACACCCCTCATTTTGAAGGTGTGTGTGTGTAGAATGTTGCTCCTAGTTTGATTTTGGAATTCACTCTTCAGTTGTCAAAATGCCGTCCAAGCAAGAAGAGCAGCGTATCAAAATTTTGCTCGCGCATCGCGAAAATCCGAGCTACTCGCACGCAAAGTTGGCAAAATCGCTAAAAGTTGCCAAATCAACCGTTACAAATGTAATTAAAGTGTTTGGGGAACGTTTGTCGACAGCCAGGAAGTCTGGATCGGGGGGAAATCGAAAACCGTAAGCCGCTGAGACGACAAAGAGAGTTGCCGGTAGTTTCAAGCGAAACCCTAACCTCTCTCTCCGAGATGCCGCAAATAAGCTGGGTGTATCGTCTACAACTGTGCATCGAGCCAAAAAACGAGCCGGACTATCGACTTACAAGAAGGTAGTGACTCCAAATCGCGATGATAAACAAAATACGACGGCCAAAGCGCGATCCCGGAGGCTGTACACGACGATGCTGACGAAGTTTGACTGCGTGGTAATGGACGACGAAACCTACGTCAAAGCCGACTACAAGCAGCTTTCGGGACAGGAGTTTTATACGGCAAAAGGAAGAGGAAAGGAAGCAGATGTTTTCAAGCACATGAAACTGTCAAAGTTCGCAAAGAAATATCTGGTTTGGCAAGCCATCTGTACCTGTGGCTTGAAAAGCAGCATTTTCATAGCTTCCGGGACTGTCAACCAAGAAATTTACGTGAAAGAGTGTTTGAATAAACGTCTGCTGCCTTTCCTGAAGAAACACGGTTGTTCCGTACTATTTTGGCCGGATATGGCATCTTGCCATTACGGTAAAAAGGCCATGGAGTGGTACGCCGCCAACAACGTGCAGGTGGTTCCCAAGGACAAGAACCCTCCCAACACGCCAGAGCTCCGCCCAATCAGGGTTACTTCCACTCACTTGCTATAAAAAAATGTTTTTTGGAATTATGAAACCATGAAATAGTATAATGCTAATTAGTACTTGTAAGTTATAAGAAGAGGTCACGAAGTATATGTTTGACACATAAAATCTGTCAATATTGCTTCCAGTGCGTCACAATCAGCGATTTTACGACTCGTGAGCGCTCACTCTGAGTGAACGCTCACTAATCATAAGATCGCTGATTGTGACGCTCTGAAAGCGAAACTGACAGGTTTTATGGGTCAAACACATACTTTACACCCTCTTCTTGTTACTTACTAGTACAACATATCATTATATCATCTAATGATTGCATAATTCCGAAAAATATTTTTTATAGCAAGTGAGTGGAACCAACCCTGCGCCCAATTGAGAAATACTGGGCTATTGTCAAGCGGAACCTAAAGAAGACCAAAAAAACTGCTAAGGGCGAGCAGCAGTTCAAGGCAAACTGGCTTTCTGCGGCGAAGAAGGTGGACAAGGTGGCTGTACAAAATCTGATGGCAGGGGTCAAGCGTAAGGCCCGGCAATTCGGATTTGGAAAAGCGGAAGCCTAACTGAATATTTTTCCTGAATTTTATACTAATTAAACTTGAAAAAGAAATTTAATTTGATTTTTTAAATAAACGATTTCACCGATTTACACGCGTTTTCCCTTGACCAAATTTTGACCGTATCACCCTTTACATCAATATGATTTGTTCCCGAATTCTGTGTTAATCGTGCAGCGTAATATTAGGAACGGAATGACTAATGTGCAGCACTTTCGATGTAATATTCAATAACTATTTTTTCTGTATTCGTCAGATGTGGTGTGTGTGGTGATGTGGGATGCCTTGACCACTTATCATTTTCAAGAGCTGACATCTACTTCCTAGACGTGAAAAAGAACTGGCATCACTGATAAGTTCGAAATTTGGTGACTTGGCAAAGCTTCAGTGGCGCCACCATGACACATGCAAGCACATTCCCAACTAAAACATTATTTGCGATGAATGTGATTGTGAGTGTTATGTCTGTTTATCTGTGACTTTTAGTGCTTTAATTTTGCACGGAAGAGTTTTTCCGATTGAGCATTGCATTATTTTGTAAATAATCGATGAAGTGAGTCATTCTGACCCAATCCATTGTCACCTTAAGGTCAAAGACATATTATACATATAACGTTACTTAATTTTTCATTTCTTTACGTTATTTTGAAGTTACGTTATATAGACGCAAACATTACGTTATATCGTGTTATGTTATATCAAAGCTTCGTTGTATCGAGGCTTTTCTATTGATAATGTTACCTGCGTTAATTTCCCTTCAGATGTCACTGCTGTTCTTAACCCTCCGTTACTCGCGCTGTTGTACTTTGTACAACACACATGAGTTTTCCATTGACATTTCGTTGCTGAGTTACCAATCGATCTGAAACCAACGAGTATTCCTCAAAAAACTTTTGACGTAGGACTACGTCTTTGATTTCTATACGGGGGTACACTTTGTGAAAACCGAAAATGGAACATGTAACAAATTAAGAAAGATTTTGAACGTTAATAACTCAGCTGCCCCTGGTCCAATTTCAATAATTTTATCACCAATCGATCAGAAATATGGCTACGCATCGAAATGCTTCCGAATGTTGATTTTCAACAAGAAACTATTGAAAAACTGGTAAATGTCCAGCATTGTCCAAAAGCGTCGAATTAACTAACAAATCCACCAATTACCTACATGCATATGCTGCTTCCCCAGCACAGTCGTCAGAGAGTAGTAAGTAGACGAAACAAATCGAAGTGGCATTCGCCTCCGATCCTCGGGCGCGAATAGGGAGGATGGAATTGCGTAATATTTTGCACACTCATCGTCATACTCAGAACCACACGCTCCCAACGACCACACCACTGTGTGGTGGTGTTCGGTCGTTGAAATTAATAGCAGCAGTAGCAGTAGTAGCAGTGCTTTCGGCGTGTGGCGTTGTAAATTGTTCTCCAGTAACAAAGAAAGGCTGCCTGCAAGCAGCGAGCTGCAAAGCCCACATAAGCAATCAAAGGAGGAAGAAGCTGCACCGCTATGCTATGGATCTTCGTGAGTCGCTGCGGGTCGGTCATCTATGTCAAGCGTGTCACCCTCGCTCCAAACGACATATAGCTCGACAGCCTCATCCGTGTTGAACACACAGCTCAGAATTACTTAACCATCACTACAAAACGGTCCTTTTCAGGGCCACCAAAAATTTGTTAAATAGTATTATTTGGACATTGGTTAAGGTCATCAGTTCCCACAAGCAGCTAGCTATCAAGGCTCAACCTGTCTATAGAAGGTGTGGAATTGTAGGCCTGAATATACTCGTCTAATTAGTTTTTCCTTGGCTTTCATTCCGCACGATTCGTTACTTTCGTTTAATCAATCACCCTTGTAGTGACGTTGAAAAGATTGTTTCAATCGGCGCTTACATATGAAATTTAATGTGGATTATAGAATTTTTTGTATGTTCCCAAAATTTATGAATGGTTTGCCACTAAATGTTGAGATAATTTATTGATTATTGAATTATCACACTGTGTACCATGAAAAAGCAGCCTGTTTGTGAGTTTTTGCCTGTTTTCAAGTAAGGAGTTATCATAAAAAAAACAAATCACAAGCGGGTATTTCCCGGAGACTTCACAAAGAAATAAAATCAAACAAAATCATCATGCAGAACTAGCTAGGATTTGTTTTACTTCATATTTCACAAAATTGCTTTCGAGTGTTAAGACATCGTCTCCTGCAAATTTTACATTTTTCCCTCTACCAACACATACATCAGGGCTTGATAGATCTCCACAGGATCTATAGAATCCACGCAATTTCAAAAAACCAAAATGCACATCATTACGAAAAGAGGTCAGGTTTCGACCAATAGCAGATAGATTTTAATTCTAAACAAGCCAAACGATTGGAAATTTATCTACCAATCTGCTAAAATTAACACTTAGTTAATTTTCAATAGGTCACTATTGAAAAATAGCAAATGTCCAACTGTTGCAATGGAGATCAAAATTATCACCGAATGTCTGAAAACAGCGCATTCCCTAACACAGACTTAAAAATCGAATTCGATGCGGTCCCACTGAACGGTGCTCATTCAATCACCGTAAGTGGTGGTGCCCAGTCCAGCAGCAGCAG